CGCACTCGCACGGGATGTCCCAAGAGCTCATACTGTGAGTAGTCTAAATCTTGGCCACGCTCATTCTCGATGATCATGTTGTGCATGATCACACAAGCGTGCATGATGTACCAAAGTATTTTTTGATCCCAAAATCTTGCCGGTCCTCTCATAATAGCAAATTGGGCTTGCAAAATCACAAATGCTCTCTCCACATCTTTTCTAGCCGCCGCCTGAGCATTGTGAAAATCAAGATTTTTCTTACCTTCCGGTTTTTTCAACGGCCTCACGAAGGTTTGCCACTTTGGATAGATGCCATCCGCTAGATAATAGCCATAGTTGTACGTACGGCCATTTGCTACAAACTGCACAGGTGGCAACTCACCGTTTGCAATCTTATTCATCAGTGGTGACCGGTTGACAACATTGATATCATTTAAAGATCCAGGCTTCCAAAGAATGCATGCCAAATCCAAGTCTTCTGATCGGCCACCGCTTCAAGGATTATAGTGGAACCCTTTTTTTGGCCGTGGAATTGCCCATGCCATGCCTTTTGATAATTCTTCCAACTCCAATGCATGCAATCTATTGAGCCAAGCATGTCAGGAAAGCCGCGCGCTTTGTTCATCGCCAATAGCCTTGCGGCGTCTTCAGCAGTGGGAGATCTCAAATACTCCTCGCCAAACACTTGCACAATTCCCACTGCAAAGCGCTTGACACACATGATGGCTTGGCTCTTACCCATAGCCAAATGATCATTAACTAGATCAGCCGGGATACCGTATGCCAACATACGCAAAGCGTCTGTCACCTTCAGAAAAGTGCTATGCCCGAGCTCTCCGGCGGCATTCCTCCTTTGCTGGAAAAACCGGTCATGGCTCGCTAGTTTCTCTGCAATGCGCCTGAACAAGTCGGTGCTCATCCTAAACCGGCGACGAAAATACGACTCCGGGTATGTGGGATTCTCCACGAAATAGTTCTTCATCAATCTGTTATGGGCATCAATCCTATCTCTCCAAATTTTCTCCCGACCCATAACCGAACCACCGTGCTTCGGTTTTTTATTGATATGGATAGCTACGATCATTGCAAGATCCTTCTCCTCTTCCATATCAAATTCTTCTTCGGAAGAATCATACGACGAACTCATCTACAATGTTCAATACTATACTATAAAAACTACAATTCAAAACATGCACCAAATTCATGAAGTTTGAGCAATACATACCATGTAGGCGTTTTGTCAAACACCTTGCGGGCGCGGCGCGGCAGCGAGCGCTCGGGCGCTGTTCCTCGGACGACGGAGGCGCGCGGGCGCCGGCGGTACTAGGAGGGGATGGGCGGAAGCGCGGGCGCGCGGGGATAGGCCGGGGAAGCCTGAGACGGTCGCCGGGGTGCGCGGGCGGCGGCGGCGGCGCGGCCGGTCGGGGGTGGAAGCGCGAGATGAAGAGCGGGCGCGAGCGCTCGAGTGTACCGCGCGCTGTAGTTGGCGCCCGAAATACGCCGCGCGGGTAAGTGTTTTTGACCACGCGCCCAACCTGTTTTAGCGCGCGCGCCGTTTTTGCGCGCCCGCTGAAGCGCCCTGACGCGTTGCGCGCGCGCTAAAACGACCTATTTTGCGGCGCGACGCTAGTTTAGCGCGGCCGTTGGAGATGCTCTGAGGCCCCAACCAAGCCATTTGCCGGGTATGGGGCACACACCGGTTCGGTGCGCTCTCAGAGGCCGCAGCCGCCAACTGTCACCACTCCATCTTCAGAGTTGTACTGACGCATCATCCTTGCCCGGTCTAGCTGCCGGCGACACCACTACGACGCCCAATGTCACCACCTCCCTGCGCGCGAACTGCTTAGCACGTCGTGGTCGCCACCGGTACACCTCAGCACCATGTCGCCAAGTACCAGCAACCGACACAACTTGAAGTCTCTGACAGATCTGTCGTGCGTAGCACCTGCCGACCAGGCATGACAAAGCGTAACACCTGTCGGCCAGGCATGACTTGACATCTCGACCGAAGCTCCGTGAAAGACGAAGCCGCTCCACCTCCTACCTCTGGCTTCCAGCGCTGCTCCACAAACGATGCTCCCGAGAGAGAAATGACACCGCAGTACCGCCATCATCCGATCTGTAAAACTAAATCATAGGGTTTCCCCCGGAGCAGCACGAGTGGGTCGACAGTAGTTATAGAACGATGCCTTCATCAAGGTAACGGCACAGGACGCCGCCATTTGCTTGGTTTTCACCGGCAACTATGTCTCCCCGACTCGCAGCCGGGACTAGATTACAGATCTCGAGATCTGATCATCCAGCCTCAGGTTGACCACCTCCGACGTAGGAGATGACGACAACCGCCATAATCCTCGTGATGCGATGCAGACCCGGAGTGCTTCAGCGAGCCGTCGCCGAATCCGATGAGATGCAATAGTTTGAGGACGTAACGGCCGCCACCCGCCTAGACCCGAAGGTCCTAGCTCGAGCCGGGACACGCCCCGGCCGCCGTTGCAACCAGCTCGTACTACTCCCGCCGGCTGTAGCCCAGCCCCCCGCCACACCCCGGCCGCTGCTGCCTGCCATCCTCGTCGAGAGGGAGATCCAAATCAGGCCGCCGTTGCCTCAGATCTCGGGACGCCAGAGGAGGTCCAACGCCGCCGCACGACGGGGCCTTCGCCCAGCGACGTTGCCGGCGGCGGTGGAGGGAGGGGGATGCACGGGGTATCGAGGGGAGGTCGGGAGGTGGCCGCCCGGTGCGGCCTGGCGGCGGCCGCACGGGGTCGGGAGGAGGACACCCAAAGCGGATTTTATGTTGCAGACTTAAGCACTTCCCGAGCTTGTTCAGATTTTTTTTTGAGATGATGGTTCAGAATTTTAATTGATAGAATAACATCCCTAAAGAGATGAGATGTAATACATATTTGGGATAGGTCCATCGTCACACATGGTTTTTGCCCAAAGGCTTACGGAATAAGTGCAAAAAAGTCCCCAAAACCATAAAAGGCCTAGCCAACTCAGCCATCCTGGCTCCCCGTTCAAAACTTACCCCTTGAGCTCACCCAAACTCAATTGTTCATCCCTTCCCATCCCCACTCCGATTCCAAACTATTTTTTCTGGACATCTCTCTTGACTATCCCTTCCATCCCTTGCTGGCTCACAAGATGCCTAGCCAGCCCCATGCCAATAAGAAAAGAAGAAGAAGAAGACCCTAATATCGAGCTCGAGGGTCCACTTCAGGCACCTCGAGTTTGGTTGGAGTGCTATGGTTTTCACATCAGCTCAGCCTTTGCGTCCCCAGGGCCATGGTCTTTCTTGAGCTCCTATTGATTGTTCTAGCGCCATGGGCCTGCTCGGGTCTTGGTGGTTGTGTTGCCATGGGCATACTCGGGCTCTACCTTGATAGCTCTCAGGCTAACCTCTTCCATCTTCCTATACAACAATGACCCAAAGGCAAAGACAAGATGTCGATGGTGACACAACCATGCAGGCACGTCCCCGCAATGAGAACTAGAGGCGGTATGAATTATTCTACCTTTCGCTCGGGCCATGTTTTATTAGTGCCACTAACATTAGTAAAAAAAATTGAAACTAACGATTGAGACTCATGTTAGGAATCTCAATTTTTTTAGTATAAACGAGGTGCCATTAAGAAAATAACAAGATAACACTTCATCGCTTGTTGTAGCATCGTAAAGTACATAATGTAATCTTGGCGAGTTCTTTGGGACACCCGACAAATTGTTTCTTGTTGGTTTTTCTTCGTTCGATCATTATTATTATTTTGTATAAAACAAAATGGCTTTTGGTCTCGCTTTAAAACATTAACAAACTGAAACAGCTTCTAAGGAGACCAAGATTCGAACTGCCAAAATAGACACACAAAAAAAGACGGATGGAGAAAAGCTTACTCTATTGCGGTTTTATCAGAAAAATATATTCAGATTCACCAAATTGAAACTTATTGTAGGGAATTTTGTAAACACAAATGATACTAGACAAACATCGGACAAGATTACATTGCACCAGCCCGGCAAGTCATCTAAAAAAACAAGACATATACAAAAGCTGAACACATCATGTCGGTGTGCTAAGAGAGGTTGTGAGAGTCACAACCCAGGAATCATTTATCAGTGATTGCAATATTTTTGTTGATAGCTTACCAAGCTGACCACTTGGTGTCAACTGTGCTAACAATCAACATTATAAACATCTGTAAACAAGCTTGCACAAGCAGTATGGGACTAATCAGTAAGACCGGGGACAAAAATTCAGCAGCACCGGTAGACGCTAGTAGCCTCAGCCCAATAACATGACACACAATTACTTCCCATGCGGGTGACTTTAGCCGTTGGATCTGCTATGATAGCTATCATGCGTTGCTGCTGTCCGTTCGATGTTAGGTAGCAGTGAGTTTGAGGAATTAGCTAGTCCAGAATGGATTCCAGATGGTAGACGCTCGTCGTAGTCGTCTTGGTTGGGCCGGCCAGGCGAGCACGCTGGCCTCAGCCGAATAACATGACACGCAATTACTTCCCATGCGGGTGACTTTAGCCATTGGATCTGCTACGATAGTTATCGTGCGTTGGTGCTGTCCGTTCGATGTTCGGTAGCTGCTACTCCAGAATGCATTCCAGATGATTGACCAGCTGCCGTATGCTGCTCGGGCGGGCATGCACGCGCAGCATGGCAGTGAGCGAGCTGCTCTTCTTCGTGGGGTTCCAGTCCACCGGCCCGACCGTGGCCTGCGCGATCGGCAACGTCGTCCCGGCCCTCACCTTCGCCATAGCCGCCTCGTTGAGGATGGAGGCGGTGTGGCTTGGGACACCCGCCGGGAAGGCCAAGGTGGCCGGCACGCTCGTCTGCGTCGGCGGCTCTATGATCATGCCCTTGTACAAGGGCCCGCTCCTCAAGGTCCCAGCCTCCCCTGTCCACTGGCGCTACGCGGAGCACGCCACCATCGCCGCGGCGGCGGCTCCACAGGCCAGTACTGGCCGTCATTCTCAGCGCCGTCGCCTGGGCCGCCTGGCTCCTCATGCAGGTACTATTGAAATCAATGATGTTGGCCGTACGTGACGTGATGATCGATCGTGTAATTAAATTTGCTTTGCAGAAAAAGACGTCGGAGGATTTCTCGGCGCCGTACACCAGCACGACAATCATGTCCCTCATAGTGTCGATTGAGTGCGCGGGCGTCAGCGCCGCCGTGGACCGGAGCCTCGCCGTGTGGAACCTTGGACTCGGCATCAGGCTCTACTCCGTGCTCTACATGGTAACTACTATGCCGATCATCGTCTCACTCACCACCAGCACCAGTCACCGGTAGTCCAGTTAACAAGAACTTGCATCTTTAGGGCATCGTCGGCTGGGGTGTCACGTTCGCGGTGATGACGTGGTGCATCCAGGCCCGCGGCCCGCTCTTCGTCTCCATGTTCAACCCGGTGGTGCTCGTCGTCATCGCCGTTCTCGGGTGGGCTGTCCTCGACGAGCAGCTCCATGTCGGAAGGTACGTTCCTTCATCCTGATGACATTGTTCAGCATTTCTTCTTTTGAGAGTCCTGGCGTTTTTTCTCCTGTCGCTGCAGTGCTATTGGGTCGGCTCTCATTGTTGGCGGGCTGTACATGGTGTTGTGGGGCAAGGGGAGTGAGATGAGCAGACCGGCGGCCCTAGTCGACGGCAAAAGTGAAGCGGAGATCACCGCGAAGGGCCCGGAGCCGAAGAGTGACACCACCGATTCCTTCTCCTTGCCAGTTTGATATAGTAGGCTGTTATTCCAATTGAGAGCTGATGTACCACACTTTCGACAAATTCATTGCGTGATTAATGAAATACAAATTATACATTGCGTGATCGGTGCGAGTTGCAAGTAGTCATCGCTCATTGTCATCTGCATTAATAGAAAAACACGTAATAGTCCCGGTTCGTGAGGGCCTTTAGTCCCGGTTCATGAACCGGGACTAATGGCCCGTTACTAATACCTCCAACCAGTAGTCCGGGTTCAAACTAAAACCAGGACTAATGTGCCTCCACGTGGCTCTGTGCGCCGAGCCCAGTCAGGGGGCCTTTGGTCCCGGTTGGTGGCACCAACCGGGACCAAAAATCCATGTTTTTTTTGGAAATTGGCTGCTTTAGGGGTTTTGGGGGTTATTTTTAGGTTGTTATATTAGCTAGCTAATAGAGAGAAGTGTCCTCTCTTTTTCGTCCTTGGTTTACCAACGCTGCTGCTATATATGTTCATTTTACCCGCTGATATAATAACTCATGCATGCTCGCATACATCAGCATATATAATAATAAGTACTCGTCCTACTAATCATGCATCATCATACAACTTCTACTCGTTATTAATAATAAGTCATACGATCATCATCCTCATAGTCATCGAACCCAACCCTACATAATTGTTCTTAACACATGATCATCAGTATCAGGTAGGACCTAAACACCCTTAAGGTAAAATATCATAAAACAATATAGACCCTGACTCTCCATTATGAAGAATGGCGATCATCTTGTCTCCAATTTTTGCCCTTCACTGAATGTTGCTTCCAACAAGCTCCTTACGACTGTCCATACATTTTTTCCATTCTTTGATTCTCATGTCTCCACTTATTTTAGAAACCCGGTATGGACAGTTGAGATTCGTAGGACGACCTGGTTGTATGTTCAAAACATGAAGGCTACCGTGTGTATACATCAGACGAGGCACACAATCATTCGGGATTATCTGTTGAAAAACATAGTAATAACTTTGTAATTAGCAATGATATGATGTACTAGTTTTAGAAGTGTGCAAAAAGATGCACGGATGTTGTAATAGTACAAAAATCTTACCAGGGTATCTCCATGGTAGTTACCGTAGTTCAACACGTGCACTAGTGGCACGTATTGACCATAATGTTGAGGAGTTCGATTGTAGACATTGTAATTCTCAAGATCAGTACAAAATGCGACCAGATAATTTTTCTCCTGATAAGTTAGTTCGGAGCCTTCGGTGTAGTAGGTTCTGTCTACCATCTTTCGCACATTCTTTGAAGAATGAAAATAAGCTGTCAATGGAGAATAAGTTGTCAACTATTTTGAAATAAACAATATAAATTACTTAATAACTATGTTAAGCTCACATGGGGGAAGAATTGGAGGTGTATCCACAAGGACGAAAATCGTAGGTCTCTCTTGCTCGATTGTAGGATCACCAAGATCTATGGTAACAAGCATACCCTCATCAAAACCATACATCTTGCAAAGTGCTTCCCAATTTTTGCAACCAAAATGGGTTACACTCTGAGCATTGTACAACTTTACTTGAAAATCTACACCATGATGGGTACTTAGGATAATTTTTTTGGTTTCGAAACTTTCATGGTCTTCAAAACCCATCCTCTCCAAGACATAGCGTCTTGCAAAGCATGGGATAAGCTAGTCGAATTGGAAAAGATGAAAAATATTGTCATGATTAAAATAGTTGAAGTCATGAGTAATTACGAAAAAAAACTATTATCGTCGGTTGCGTACCGTATGAACATCGAAGGTCTCCTCGAGCTTAATGCTGAAGCGACGATCTTCGTCCAGCACAATGAACCTGTCGCAGATACCTCGGTCGTCGTGGCACCAGTCGCACTCCCCCGGACGGTTTTCGTCGTCCGATGAGTACGACATTTCCGGCCTACGTTCATAATTCAAATATTAAACTAGATCATTATTATTAATCACGGGTTGACTATCGATGATCGATGTACGTAGCTCCTCCTTTCATTCCCGAATGCATTATTATATCAAATTGTTTAGCACACGGGAATGAAGGAGAACTTATCCAATATGAGCATTCAATAAGCAAAACCAAATCATAAAATAAGCAAAACCAAATCATAAAATAAAGTATAGTATTCAAATTAGCATGCATTCAATAATTATAAGCAAAAGTACATCATCTCTTGGTGTCCCTACATCGTCGAATATTATCACTAATACAACTAGAACCGTAGCGCCCGACGGGTATCGACGCGAGCGGTGGACACCCAAAGATAAGGAACCATCACAAGATCATGGCTCTAGTGAGATCCCTGAAGAACCTGCCAGGTATTGTCGAATCTGCCCTCCAATGAAACCATGTAGCGACGGACGTGCTCGTCCTCCTCGCTGACACGGTGACGTACCACCTCCGCGGTGCCCGGATGCCTCACCACCGTCACTGGCCCACGCGACCGCCACCAAACAAGGATCGGGTCAACAACGGGCTGCCTCCTCACCAACGTACGTCCCCCGGAAGGTAGCACCTTCCAATACCAGCCCGGCGGAGCCCAGTCCCGAACATGACCCTGATCAAGCAGGCCTCCACCGCCGAGTCGACGATGACGAGGATGCGGGATAGACATCGCCGACGTCGATGCGGCAACTACTTCTATATATAATTAAATAAAAGTAGTTTTATTAATTAAATCAACTATCTAGTTCAACTACTAAGCACTTACTATAAATAAATAAGTAGTACTTGCTAAAAACAAACTACTTCTATATATAGTAAAATAAATTAGTTTATTAAATCAACTAGCTAGTTCAATTAAACTACTTCCTATTTTTTTCCTTTTTCTAAATACTACACATCTAATCTAACAAAAAAAATCTAATCTAACAAAAAAAATCTATGAACTACATATCAAAATTACTACACATCTAATCTAACAAAAAAATCTAATTAATCTAACAAAAAAATCTAACATAATATAAATAACTTAATTACTACACATCTAATCTAACAAAAAAAATCTAATCTAACAAAAAAAACTATGAACTACATATCTAAATTACTACACACATCTAATCTAACAAAAAAAATCTAATTAATCTAACAAAAAAATCAAATATAATATAAACAAATTAATTACTACACATCTAATCTAACAAAAAAATCTAATCTAACAAAAACAAATCTATGAACTACATATCTAAATTACTACACACATCTAATCTAAGAAAAAAAATCTAATTAATCTAAAAAAAATCTAACATAATATAAACAAATTAATTACTACACATCTAATCTAACAAAAAAAATCTAATATAACAACAAAACCTATGAACTACATATATCTAAATTACTACACATCTAACCTAACAAAAAAATCTAATTAAATCTAACAAAAAATGACGGTGACGGCCGGCGAAGGCGGCGGCGAGGTGCTCACGTACGGCCGGCGACGGCGACGGCGAGGTGCGGAGCGGGGTGGCGATGGCGACGGCGACGGTGAAGGCGACAGCGAGG